TAACGGAGACACAAACAGAGACAGTCCAGACTTTTATTAAGTATACAGATGTGTGTACATTTTTGGGACACCCTGTACATGATCCTTTCAAGAAAATATGAATGTCCTCGAAACGGTGTGCATTTCTGCACTAGTACGAATCGCGGCTTTTTTTAACCTCATGAAGGATGAACACTTTTAAAAACTTATTTCAGTCTCCGAAATTGAGGACATTTCGATCGTACATTTAAATATGAGGTATCGCTGTAAAACTTGAAGCCATCAACCATAGAATGAATTTCCTCAAAAGCAGCCAAATGCGGTCCATCTGTGTACAAGTTTGTGTGCTGACTGGGCGAAATGTAAGTCCTACTGCCTTCACTGGCGACGTTGAGGACGACAAAAGCAATAAACATTAGGAGGCACACATAAAATCCAATTATTTTTCTAGCTAGAAGAGAAAATATACCTGGATAATACAATCGGGTATACCGTCTCCGTTGGCGTCAGGATCATCAATGTCCGGAATGCCATCATTATCATCGTCGTCGTCATATTCGTTGAGAATTCCATCGCGATCACTGTCCTATAAGGAATTAACGTGCAATTAAGATATAACTGATCAAGAAGTATCTAACTGATGCGTCCAGAATGTAAAAAAATTATGTTTAAACATTCCTTTAGCCACCAGTCTAGCCAATTAATCATATAACCGACCCTTAAAAGTGCCATTTAGAGCCCTAATACAAAAAGCCAATTATTGGCTCAGTCTATTTCGTTTTTTTAATCTTCGGTCTCGTCGACTTTTTCTTACTCTCAAATGACTCGACTTTTGGTCAGAACGATGTTTATGTGCATGCAAAATTTAGCGTTGAAAGGAAAGTACACTTTAGAAGTTGCAAAGTGGTATTCCGAAGGGTTGCCTTCACTATGGGCAAGCGGAATGCTTCAAATGAGGGGAAATTTCGCCCAGTTTTAAATATTTATCATAATGGTAAGCTGCGGGCCAGGACTTATACATATACTAATGGGTTTTTAAGTGAGGCACCTTGGAAGAAAATTATCCTATACGTGTGTGGTCAAAACTTCTAAAAGTTTTATTAGGTCCCTCAAGATAACAAGACTTACTCACATGGTCTGGGTGGGGAAGGGTTACCTGGTAGCTACAAACTGAGTACCTTTATGTACAAGGCACTGTAGAACAGACACTTGTTCAGGTTTTCGCATGCAAAATAAAGCTGTAAACATTTTACTCGTCCAGTAGGAGGCGTGCTTCGTGAAATGTTAATTTCCTTTTTTAAATGTATCCTGGAGTAAAAAGGATAACTTAGATTGATCTCTAGAACAAACTATTGTTCAGCAAGCTATTCCGCTGAAGCCAGAATTCCGGCGTTTAAATGTGGCTTTTTTTCCGCCGCATGCAGAAATCATACTTGGTAAGGATAAATGGTTACGTAATTTAATTTTTTCCATTTATTTTCTAGGCTATTAGACAGTTTAAATGTATTTTATAGGAATCCAGCAAAAAAAGCTCTTTCTCTTGAGCAGTTGGTGGTTATACAACGTTCATTATTATGCAAATTTCTTTGATCGTTCAATGTCTATCTAAGAATAATAGTTTCCAAATTCCAGACTTTTACGAAGCCTCTGTGATATTAATTATGATTACAATATGGTTTCAACCGTATCCTGGAGCTAAAGGGCTTACTGAAACCGAGAGGTACGGTTTGCTCTGCTAACTATTTGTAAGACAATTTATCACAGACAAGGCGCAGGTATGCGTGATCCTTTTAACACATTTTCGCATCTTTAAAAACATCGAGTATCGATGGAAAATAAATACCTACTACTTAGTATTTTATCTTCAATGTGCTTCATGCAAGCGGTAGCAAAAAACGCATTCTAAAAATGGCATCTTGGCGTAAACGAAATAGAATGAGGATGCGTTCCCCGTTAATCCGTATTAAACCCTCGAGTAAAAAATCCATTTTAACCCAAAAAACAAATTTGAGAAGCTCGCATAGCGTTTCATAAAATGCTTCACCTAGCGTGGCTTGTGAGTATGTCGAGTATAAGGCCTACAATTTAGACCCCGTATAAATTGCATGGAATAGTTTTACACCAGAACTGCCCGTAGGAGATGACCCTATCCCCTAGTTTGATTGATCTGCAAAGTGTAAAACACGTAAATTTCCCCCACCTGCTTCTTGTCAAAATAGCCGTCGTTGTCGTCGTCGGGATCGAGGTGATCGGGAATACCATCACAGTCTCTGTCACTCCAACCCACAGCAGCCATGCGTTTGTTCAACTTTACCATGTCCTCCAGGGTGCGAACTAGAAGAGAGGGATAGACAAAAAGCAGAGTATAGTTTTTATTATTAGTGTATTGTGCTACTTCCTCTAAAACAGTAGAAAGTATAAATTGTATTTTCGTTCGAATATTTGGATCCTATCATGCATTATCCGCAATATAGCAACTCTACAACTTGTCATTTTCTCACTTCTAAGCTGAGGTTGCGGCCTAATGAGTATTGTATGCAGCAGGCATTGAGGAATTTTTACGACGACAAACTCTATTCAGTATTGGGAAGACGTGCTTAGACTGCCCTAAAATTTAGGGGAATGCATATCCTTGAACGCTCCGAATTCTCTTGGCCAAGATATTTTAATGAATTTCATAGATGGAACTTAAATCAATTAGCGAATATGAAGGGACATACTAAATGTTCAGTCGGAATTAAGCATGCAAGCCAAACAATCGTTAAGACGGTGAGGGCAAAATGCGAGTCGATGCTATAAAAAGATGTATCCGGATAAAATTCGAAGTGCTTTTGAGTGTGATATACTAAACGCCAATTTCTTTATTAAACGTAACACAACTGGTCAGCTTATTTACTCCGAGTGTATATTTCCCCTGCCTCGTTTTCCGTATTATTTTTTCCCGCAATTACAATTACGCCTAACTGAGGTGCGACGTCGTCACTGTTTCTCTTAAGTATGCATACAGTACATTTTTAATTTTCGAGATATTCCTTATTCTGACCAGGGATTTAGTTGAGCAATTATTGAATTGATGAGATACTGTAGGAGTACTTTTAGTTCCTGTCCGTCGGTAGGAAAATAAAGTGCCTAATGGACACAATAAGTAATTTTATGTCCACACTTATGAGAAGAGAAGTTCACGACTTTTAGTAGGAAAATCAATCTGCGCCAAATCCTTATACTAAAATGGATAATGGTATCTTTGTATAAGTCTTTCATCATATGTGCTCTGCCACAGTGAACCTTGTGGTCTTGACGACAATCACTGGTTTTCTTTCAAAAGCTGTGTGAAAGAGGTAGACGTTCTTTCATAAACGGAAATGTCTGCTTTTATTTTCTAAATTTTGTAACAAATAACTTCTAAGTAACCTGAGGGCATTTCCACAAGCCAGCAGAGTAAGCCCATTTACAAGCCATCGTGGCTTAGCTGCACTTACTCTTTTATCACATGAAATAACAGGATGATAGGGTCAAATCGGAGTGCCGAGCCATGAAGTAAATGGATAATGCCATAACCTTGCTAAGATTTAAACGTCATTCGATTGCCAACTAAACGAAACGGTCACATACACACATCCTGTCAGAAGCACAGAAACAACTAATGAAATCCGAAAAAAAAGTTATTTTCGCTCTACCTGACTTAGCGCCTGCTGTTAAATACCCTTGAACTGGCGTGTCAAGCGCTGTTTACGAGGTTCGAAGACATCTACGATCGAGAAAAATATCATCTGAAGGTAGCCAAAACTAAGACAGTTTTTGGGTTCCGTCACCGTTACGGCTGTATGATAAATGGCGCACAGAAATTCGCTCTTCGAAGCCACAAGACAGCAGGAGTTCGGGGCGGCAACAGCTGTTACTCAGCGTCCTAGTGACAGGACATAAAAAGTACCATTCCAACAGGCCGCAAAGGCAACCTACATTCTAAAGTTCTAAGGTAAGTGCCTGTTGGCATTAAGGCCCCATACAGGAATTGCAGGAATCACGCGATAGGAGATAAGTCAGAAAGAAACACACGTGGCCATTTTATATACAACCAATATCTATGAGCCGTTTTCGGCAACTGACTCCAGCCCTTCTCGAAAAAACATAAATTTCTGGCGAAGTTGAAGGAGAAAGCGGATAGAAAATACGCTGCCTCTACTGAAAGCGCCTTGGAAACAGCTGAGACCACAGAGTTATGGGCCGCTCTACGAGCGATGATCATACAGTGCAAAGCTAAATCAGGCGATCCAAGAACCCACAAAAACATGGGAGGGGAGTCTAGTATGCCGCTCGAACGGACGCCGGCTTACTGAGAAATATAATGCATACAGGTTCTGTTGGGCAAATGTAACAAGCGTTTTCTCCAGGCTACTTACAGGCTAGATAACAATCATGTGTGAAGTTATCCTCAGGGAAATCAATGGACAATCCAAAACGCGACAAGCGGTTTTGGTGAGCGAATCAGCTGACCAATAGACACATTCAGCTTTATCAACCTTGCTAGCCCTAAAGGACGTGGAACAACCCTATGTCCTTGAGCCCAAAACCAAGGTCAATGTTACAAACATCAGGCAGAGGAGGCGGCCTTGACTGGCCAGTTTCTATCCTCAAGAGACTATTTGCTGTTGCTTCAGTCATGAAGGCTATTTGAAATTGTTTCCGTGCGCAATTTAACGAGGGGAACTCCGTTTAAATTAGGCGAAGGTCCGATTTCCAGGTGCATTCCTAAGTAAGGGAGCAGAGGGCTGTTTGATCGCCGGAACTATTTTGTTATTCATCTGAGAGATCGAATTCGTGCGCATATCCATAATCAGAGATAAAAACGACAACAAACAAGAGACATGGTCAGAAGCTAATCAAACCTCAATAATGCCAGTCCGGAGATGCCTGTGTAGGGCTGTCTATGTCAGCGCCGGACCGATGTATCGACTGATTGAGTTGTTTTGCTGCCAGCTTTATCTCTATGGGGGGACACCTATACGAGCTCGGGGCCCAGACGAATAAGCAAATGATTCTGGCCATCAAAGAGCCCATTTCTTCATACGTTTGACTTTCAGTCCAAAATACGCTTGGAAATTTCAACTATTCAATCTTGTTCTCAACTAAGCATCTGTATCCATATAATTTGACTTATAAATCTGTTCTTAGTTTAAAGGATTGCCGGAGGCACAAAAAGATTTATTTTTCCAACAGC